ATTTATGTTTTACAATATGATGATAGATCTAAGTTAAAAAGTAAAATTCAAGAATTATCCAAGCTGTATCAAAGCAGAAAAACAAAGCAAGCTTAGTGAAAAAGTTTTACAACATTGGGTATAGTCAATTCTGATAATTTAACTGCTTGTATTTTAGTTAATTAGTCTAATTAACATAGAATTTCATTATCATAAGAATGACTCACAATAAATAACAAAGCAACCACATAATTTAAATTTACTTGTTTGATTATTATGCCCATGCTTGTAATCATGGAGAAGCAAAAATCTGAACAATGTGTTTAAGACTTGATGTAAGACTAATATTAAGTGTTGTGGTGACGCGATATGCGACGTATATTCCTCGCAGCTCCGACGGTGCTACTTCAGGATTGCACTGCCAATTTTTAATATAGCCGTAATATGCACCAAACGTCGTTATTTCAGCTCATCAACTGGCAGAACGGGCAGTAGTACATGTAGTTGAAGATCGGGGAAGTAGGCAGTTTAGAAAGTATTTAAGCGACGTGCTTTTCGCTACGATCGGTGTGTTTCATGTGTCTCTTACTATAACTATCCCATATGCCCCTTTTCTCTCACCACTTGACCACTTTGCCGAGTAAACTCTCTAAGGGCCTTTTTCTTCAGGCCAGTTATAATTTTTATTGATCGAGTATTAAATTTGCGTTCATGATTTTACCCTCATAAATATAAATTCAATTCGGTCGAATCTTTACCCGCTACGAGTTGTTTTTATTTAGAGTTGGAATAAATTTCGAGTAAGAATGTATGTCATAACAATACTGGCCATCAAGGAGTAAAGTAAGTAGCTGTTTCGGTTTATCTTCGAGTCTAAGACGTTTGTTCCATTAGTGTCGTCTCAACCACGGAAACTCGTAGTCTAGAGCCAAACAAACCCGGCAGAGGTATTATTGAACTTTGATTCTTTATTGCCCTTTCAATGGATTTTCTGAAAGTTCAAGCGTGTGTGTTATTGCTGGTCTGTTTGCTTGATGTTTGATCATCTTAATCATCGGATACACCATATCGACTACAAGAAAATTACAAACATGTCAGCACAACGTGGGTTGTTTTTTCAGGATACCAGGACCGTCAAATTTAATACAAAACCTTTTGAGCTCTTTCAATTCTTCTTCCCTTTTCTGTAAATTCATCTTCTTTGTAATCTTGTTCGGCTGGTAATATAATACAATCAGATACCGTCCCATTACATTAAACCCGTTCAGGTGATCACAGGCAGCTTTTGCGTCAAATATATCTTGTAAAATAAATAAAAGTATTAGACTAGCATTAATGGAACTGTCGCTAGAATGCACTGCATACCTTCGTAAACAACAAATGCTGTGCCTCGAGTATCTTTCTCACACCCTCTGATAAAAAAAAAGTACATGGAAAGGGTGAGTGTAATTGTCATTCCCAATATCTACTCCTTAAACATGACATCCAGCTGTGTATTTACGCACATTCGAATCTGTCGTATAGCCCCGTATTTGCCAAAAATATCGTACATTTCTTCCGACGTTATATTAAACGGCAGGTTTCTTATAAAGAGCACTCTGTTTACTTCTGGCGGCAACCGGGCCTGTGCAAATAATAGGGCTAAGTTTATCTCTTGGAGGTGGCGGTCTAAATAAAGAAAGCAAAGTCTTTCAAAACCTACGTTCCGGTTCTTGGCGGATGCTGCCATAGCCATTTTGAACGTCTTATTTTATGGATCGAAAACTTGATTAAGGGATTTGCGGAGCGAGAAGACCAACGTGGGTGTATGAAATACTATGAGAAGAGTTTATAATGAGTGGGTTGGCTATACGATCAACCGCGTGCAACTGGATCACCCGAGGAACTTGGAATTCCCAACTATAGAGAAATTATTCCAATATAACAAAGCAAACATCGCCGATCAGCCAATCACAATTACTGTACTGGGCATATTAGTATTAATCCAAATACTCATCTTCCGTTGAAAGAAATGTTTACTCTATAGAATTTATGCCAAGCAACAAAATTTCCTCCAACCAGGTGTAATTTGACGGAAGCTCTCCAATTTTGCTGGTCTTGAACTTTACTTCCACAACTCCTGACAAAGGGTTATAACAACTTGGATTTAATACCTGTCCTGGTATTGTCATAACTGTTGGTGTGCCACGTGTCTTGTTGACAAGTTGATGCTTCTTTGAAACTGGATACGTTATAAGATAACGGTAAGAAAACTCTGCTACTATGTATGTGTATAATTCGCAAGTTTGGTGGTTTGTTTGGGTGAACGCGTCTGGTAATAAAAAATACGACAAATGATGTTTCAACGTATCATATGTGAAAACAATTATATAAAATTCATGCACAATGGCACAAATTATCAATTGCATTGCCATGGAGTAATATTAATAAATAATCATACTTTTTATATGACTAATGTATATGTTACTTTTCTCATTTCTGCTTCAAATCAATCGTCTATTTTATATCTTTTTAATATTTATCATATACTATTGACTACAATGGGATCAGATAGTTACTGTATATAACGTTTTGTGCATATCAGCACGATGTTCTCTGTATAACCGATTAGAAAACCAATATTAAGAAGGACTTGCGCCTCTTATCGAAACAAATTACCATAATAAGAACGTTTTCGACTGACATAGTGTTAGTGTGTGGTGTGATATGGTGAAAAATACAATTAATCACGGATTATTTTATTAGCTCTTTCGACTGTTCGGATAAAAAAGCGATACAATTATAAGATTATTTATTTCCTTGTCTGCACATACTCCCCTTGACATCCTTATATTAAATATTACAGAATTTGAACGATCACAAAATTAAAGCTTCCTTATAAATGCACATTATAAATACAGAAGCATATAAAAGATTCTGTAATAAGAGCAAAAACCGGGACGGTATAAACAGGTTTTAGGTTTTAGTCTTATAATCCCGAGTTACGTACATGTACTATTGAAAATAACTGTTATTTACATCATGGATAGTGTTGCATTAGCCGAAACGGAAGACATGTCACGTTATTACTAATAACAGGATATGCTCCGTATTAAAGAGTCGGCATCTTGTTTGTAAAATCTTGAACTAAAAAGAATGTCAGATATTTTATGCCCAATACGCTTTTACCGTAAGCTATCTAATTTTAAGTGCAGCTGTTTGAGTGGTAAGAGCCTAAAAGCTTTTCAAAAGTAAATGATAATAATAATAATTGTTATCATAATTTAATCAGATCGATACAACTGCCAGTCCAGTATGTTTTTTATATCAAAATTATTTAATGACCAAAATTCGATCAGTGGTTAATAAGACGACAAAATGGCAAAATATTTCTAATGTTTAAATGGGTACATTTCAAAGGAAAGTTGCTATTGACAAATTTTTATGCTGCACCGAATAATACGCCATTTTTATCTACGTTTTTTAGTAATATTGAAAATTGTTACTATACACAGATTTCGAATAATAATAATATGTAAAATTTCGCCGTAATAGCTTTCTGACTATAACCACAGCTTATACATAAAAAGTCAAAAAGAGTTACTTTAATCTATACCTATATTACATTCTACTTTTAATGCAAACGACAGTAAAAGCAACCCTTTATGACCATGTCTTAAGTAAAGATGAACCAAATTTCCATTATAGGATTTGTTTATGCACACTATTTGTATATTCAATCCCAAAAATAGTAATGTTATGATAATGTTGATCTGCGACACGAATAAGAGCTTTGCATCTTACCCATTTATAGTTGTAGGATATGTTATTTGACGTTGCTGCGTCCCACATCAAGCATTGATCGAATGCATGATTAAATTTTATACATAAAAAGGTAAACAAAACGGGCAAATGAAATGATGCTTATTATTTTTAAATAACATACAGTCAGTAAATTGTTAGTACTTTCAGTGTAAGATTGAGTTATTCGATAACAATCGTGAGATTTTATGTACTTTAAAAAACTAACAGCTTGCCTTGAATTTTCTAGTTAAGTTGTATTTGTTGAAATACTATAGTAATTCTGCGAGCTGTGTGTAAACTAGAATTTATTTGTAAGATACAGTCTCCGTTTGATACTTATACTGTATTTACGTAAAAGTACCAATCTACCAGACAGCTATCTTCTTGCCTTACTGATAGTTACTTTTTGAGCTCAGGCGTTTTCGGTAAACCAGCACTAACCTCTGAGCCAATAATAGTCCAGTTAAATCAAAAGATGTTGGATAACACTGAACTACGTTGTGTAACTATACGATAATCTATTCCCGCGTATTAATATGGCAACAGTGTCGATCTCGTGATAGGACGCGTATTAGTATTGCCAATCAAATCAAATGTGAATCAATATTTGTTAAACCAAGGACCACTCAATTTTTTCGACCAGTGGACAACAATACGTGATGGAAACAAATGTAGTGTTGCAAAAGTCAACGAGAGCACCTCTTGCAGAGATCGACCAAATACTTTCAAATATACACCAAAATATGCAAACTACAGGGAGCATGGTAGCAGCAAAGGACGCCTCCACGATCACCGATAAACTACTCCTCCGCCATCGGAGACCGGGTGTTCTCGGCCCTCCACAACGTATCCCACTCAAAGACTCGACAAGCAGAGACGAAATCTCTATAGCAACCAATAGACTAGTACATCCACGTCGAGCTAGACTAGCAGCTACTACTAAGGCGAATTGCCCACTTGTAAATACACGCTTCGGGCAAATCTCAAACGGTAATTCAATTCAAAATGAAAACGATGCCAGAGTGTTTGCTCCAAAAGATATCAACACAATCAGCAATAACCAACGAGAGTCTTCAGGTAATAGTCAAAGCGTTCACAATCGAGTCAATTCAAACGGCAATTCAAATCAAAATGAATACGATGCCAAAATGTCTGCTCCAAAAGATATCGACACAATCGGCAATAACCAACGAGAGTCTTCAGGCAATAGTCAAATCGTTCACAGTCGAGTCAATTCAAACGGCAATTCAAACCGAAATGAACACGATGCCA